TGCAAAAATAAATTACAACTGTTGCTGTTTATAATGAAATGTTACATTTACAACAGTTTGAGAAAGTGAGACACAAGCGCCCTCTGGTGTCTTTTTTGAAAACTGCAGGACAAATAGACCAGCTAACAACCATCATACAGTCTTGAAATTAATTCCAGCAGTAAGACATCTCTGCTTGTTCTGCTGCAGCAATTAAAAGAAGTGAGACAATTGCTTACAGCATGCTTATCCTTGGCTTTCTTAGCTGGAGGATTTGCTGATGAAACACTGGGATAATCGGATGCAAGCTGAGCATCAGCAGGCACCATCTTGTGGTCGGTTAGACTCACGGTGCCCTGGAGAAATAATGGGTGCAAATGTGGAAAGAAGCAAAGTTAATCAACAGGAGGCTGATTATGCAGTTAAAAACTTGAAAGGGAAAGCTCGCATGTTGAAAGAAGACAATGAGATTTAAAGTTACAACATGTGGGATTAGTTCAGGGGTTCATTACCATCGCCAGCAGCTGTTTCTCAAATGTCAGCGCCAGTCCTGGATTAAATGTTCCTCCTGTCAAACTGGTCATTTCATGGATCTGGTAGAACTGAGGAAGTGCCTTAACAGACTCTAAACATGCCTGAAAGAACTCCTGAAACACATTTGGATTTTATTTTGCATTTCCAAAAACCACACAAAGCAGATCCAAGGTACAAACCATAAGTACCTCTGTATACTGCATTGCTCCCTGTGTTATGAAGTTGTAGTCTTCAGCGCATATTTTAGCAACGTCCTGCAGGTACATCATGAACTGCATCACTTCATTGTTTATTCGCACTGTGAGGTTCTGAAATAACATGAGTTATTGGAGAAAAAAAAACTCAATATAGTATATTAATACATAATATCAATAAGAAGAGGGTGCTTGTACCTTTGGAGGACCCCTGGTCTTTTTACTCATCAAATAACCCAAATAAGTTTTCTGGTCTTTGCAGGTCAGGCTGGACATGCAGGGATAAGGCAGCCTGGGTTCAGGATATGCAACATCCACCTCCTTGTCAGGCTTTCCTTTGGAGTTTTTTCTTCTCTTGCTGTTTTTTGGTTCCTCAGCATCATTGCCAGCAGACGGATCATCGGTATGACAGCTCTCTCCACCAGATGCTTGGCTACCGAAGCAACCGCTCTCTTTTTCCTTGGCAGCATCTTTTAGGGGAGGAGTGCTGTGGTCTGCAGCAGCCTTCTCACACCTTTGCTTTATGTCGCTATTTTCTGCAGGACTAGAAGCAAATGTGTTCAAACACTCATGAAAAGCATTTAAAAGCCAAACAACAGAAGTTGTGAATCAGTTTACTTTTTTTTTTTTTTTTTTTAATAACAAACCTTTGAAGAAAGGTCCAAAGTTCCCTGATGTGTGGTGAGAGTGAATATTTGTCATAGAGATCTCTGGTGAAGAATGGACCGTCTGGGACTGGGTCATCATCCCTGTTGTTAAAGATAGCGGGTAAAATAACCCCTTTAAATCTGTAACTCTTTATATTGTTTTTATTAGCATCAATAAACTTTTTATATTTATTTGTTATGCAAGAATCTTTCTGAAGCCTCCCTTTTATTCCAAAATAAAAGCACTGCTCTGTTAGATCCATGTTCAAGTTAATTTGATTAAATCATAGCATAACAAAATTTACATTTTATCATAGAAGGTGAATAAAAAAAAAAACACAGAGTGTAATAAAAAATGAACAATTCCAAAGCATTTTTTCTGTTAACTTTGGCTTACAACTGTTTATCAGAAAATTAGATCACAAAAGATGTTTTCTATCCAGAAATGTTCTTGAATCTAGTTCCTGTATGAGGCTGTTTGTAGTATTTATCAATACAGTGTGGGATGAATGATGGTATGTCTGTTGATCTCCTAAGGCCCAGCTAAGGTGCTTAGCAAGTCCAGGCTGTTTAAATAACAACCTTCATCCCATCTGCATTGCTGATTCCACGTGGCAGGGCAGGTTTAGTGGCCAATCAAGTGCCATACATGGTCATTATAGCAGGTACTGGTACATTTGGCAGCAAGATGAATGAAATCTGAACCTCCAGAAATCTTGATGGCAAGTGGAACCCATGCTAAAAATGTCCTTGCAGATGGCTGCACTGATTTTTGACTTATCTAATAACAGTGGACTGGACCCACACCCCGACATTAAACAATGTCCGTCTCCTGAAGATTTACTTTGGACCTGCAAGCAACTTGGACTACAACACAAAGCTTATTTAAACCTAAAAGAAGGTCTTTGCAGCACTAAATAACATTCCATTCCTGTTTTCCCCTAAGCAAAGCAGACATATCTGCCTTTTTGTCTAGTTCAGGAGTGACTCAACATAAGGATTGCAGACAGTTACGGCCCACGTCCTGGATAGTCTGGGTGTGATCAGCAGCAAACTAATGGATCAGCTTTGCTTTATGATCCTCCAAATGCTGTGGTCATCATATTTGCTTGTGCAAATGTGTTTCTTTCTTCCACTTAACTTTCTCTCACTAAGTTTGGATACAGTATGGGAACAGACAGGTTTCTTTTGCCCAAATCTTTGTTGTAGCTTTTTCTCCTTTGAGAGGACAAGTGCCTGATGGCCAACAGTCCATTCAGTTTAACCAGAAAATACTCAGTTTCTGTGGCATAAACCCCATAGTTTTAAGCCTTAATCTCCATTAGTGCCAGATATAAACACTTCAATCAATTTTTGATGAAAATATACTATACATTTTCTGATGCATTTAATATTTAATGCTGATATTTACTGTTTGTGTTCTTATTAGACACAGATTATGCAAAGTTTTATTCAGCTACTGTAATAATAATGTGCAACACACCCCTCAGCTGGATTAGGTTTAGTGTGGTTCTGCAAATTTAAACACAAAATTGATTTTTTTTCTATGTCAAGCTTCCCTATCTTGGTTCAGTATCGATGCGCTTTTCTCTAGTTTTATTAAACCCAGCGTGTAAAAAGCTAATATTTCATGAGGTTTAAGTTGTTCTTTCTAAGCGAGGAGATAATTTCCTCCACATCTCAGAAAGCTCCGCGGTATGACGGAGTCCAAAAGTTACTCACCACTGCAGCTCCATCGTTAACTGTCAGGAAAAACCAAGTAAAATCTAAAAGAAACGTTTATTGCTGCTACTAAACTTCATTATGTTCCTGATTTCCGTTTGTTTAACGTGCGTCCTTCTTTGTCTGCTGGAAATACAGCAGCATTACCGTGCTTTGTGCAAACTACTGCCACCCAGTGGACTTTAGCTGTAATTGACGTTAATGTTAATATTTAAATGCTTGTTTGGATTATAAAAATAATGTAATGTGATGTAATATAATATAATATGCCCGCCCAATAATAGCAATGCCAGTATATGATAACTACTCTTTGTTAGAATTTATTACCATGTTAGATTTATATTCAAATTTTAGGTTTTCTTTTTACCTCCAGATGTAAATCTGTTTACATCACTTTTACTGAAACTGACTTAAAAAAACAAACAAACAAAAAAACAATATTCAACTTGTCAGAAAGGTTCTACTGTTAAAGTGTTTGGCATTTGAATCCTGCCTGTGTTCTTTCTGTATTGTGTTTTTATGGGCTCTTGGTTAGTTTTTATTTATTTATTTTAGGTGCAGTTTCCGCACAGCCCAAACCCATGCTGTTCAGGTTGCTTGGTCATTCTAGAATGCTTTTAGAAGACAGTTTGTGCATGCATTATTTTTACCTGGATGGTTACAGTTTCCCTATAGAAATATCTGAAAATAGCCCCGCTACTTTGGGGTAACTCAACAAGGAAAACATCGTTATAAAAAAAACTTATGGATAACTGGTTAAACTTGTAATGAAGTTCTTGGTTACATTAATCCAGCCTTTCATTTCCCCTGGCTTACTTCGGTCTTACTATTTCTGGAAAAAATGTGCCCTTTTATTTATCTTTTAAAACTCTGGAGAATAATGGAAAATTATCACAAAGTATGGAAATGTTAATATTCTATCCATTATATAAAAGAAAAAGATTCTGATGATTTAAAAAAAATATATATTTTTTTTTTCTATGTGATATTGGATATGAGCACTACTTATTTTCTGTTTTGTCATAACCCAGCTTAACAATTTTGTTAAACTCACTGACCAGTTTGTTTTTTGAATGAGCAGATGAACACATTTATTCTTTTTTTTTTTATATATAAAATAATTTAAAAGTTTTTTTATTATGTAGCTCAGATTAGAGAGCAGGTCAATGCCACACAGAGTTCTAGCTGCAGACACATCTCTAGAACAACTGTTAAGAGGAGACTGTGTGAGTCAGGCCTTCATGGTAAAATAGCTAATAGGAAACCACTGCTAAGGACAGGCAACAAGCAGAAGAGACTTGCTTAGGCTAAAGAACAAAAGGAATGGACATTAGGGCAGTGGAAATCTGTGCTTTACTCTGATGAGTCCAAATTTGAGATATTTGGTTCCAACCATCGTGTCTGTGCTATGCAGGAAAGGTAAAAGGATGGACTCTACATTCCAGGTTCCCACCGTGAAGCATGGAGGAGGAGGTGTGATGGTGCTGGGTTGGTTTGCTGGTGAGACTGTTGGGGATTTATTCAAAATTGAAGGCATGCTGAACCAGAATGGCTACCACAGCATCTTGCAACGGCATGCTATTCCATCCGGTTTACGTTTAGTTGAACCATCATTCATTTTTCAACAGGACAATGACCCCAAACACACATCCAGACTGTGTAAGGGCTATTTGACCCAGAAGGAGAGTGATAGGGTGTTAATTCATAGTTTTGATCCGTTCAGTGTGAATCTACAATTTTCATAGTCATGAAAATAAAGAAAGCTCTTTGAATGAGTAGGTGTGTTTATATATAATGTTTAAGGTATATGATGCTTATATTATTTTTTAGACGAGTGAGCTGAACAACGGCCAGACTAAGTAAGATGGATGAACAATCAGAGGAGAAAAACAAAACCCATTACAAGCGGTAAATTTTATTATGGGATAACAGCACATAAAGCACATCTAAAATCGATGTGTCCAATGCACTTTTAATAAAGGTAATATTAAAGGTACAGTTTCTAAGTACAATATAACAACATTCATATTAGAATGAAAAGTATTTAAAAGACAACATTAAATTTCTTATTCTTCTTTACAGATGTATTTACAAAATGAATCAAAATACTTATTTTCATATTTAAGAATCAGACAAGAAGGAGCAAAACTACATTTGTGAATTAGACTACCTGCTAAAGAGAGTTCAAAAGAGCTGGATAAAAAGGTTCATGATCAACCGTCGCCATTTAAGATCAGTAGCAAACGTGTGACTTAGAAATCTGTGTCAAACACACACTAGATTGGGCTTTTTTTTTTTTTTTTAAACATTTTTTGTTTTTAATTGTTTTGCAAGGAAAAAGCTTCGACCCCCCTGCTCCACTCAACCTTCATGTGTGGAGTTACCCCAAACAGACACAGCACACAATGAACACAGAACATTAAAATAACCAGATGTGCTGTACGCTTGTTTTACAAACACGTACGAATACAGAATATACAATGCATAAGCAAATCCTCTGTTTGCAGTGAAAAAATAAAATAAAATACAACAGAAGATGTAGAAATGTCAAGATTATTTTTTCATTTTCCAAAAAAAATCAATTGTGCAATTAATTATTTAGGGTAATAACTTATCTGGGAGCTTTTATTGACCACTTCAGATCAACATGAAAAAAAAAACCTTCCCAGTTTCTGAAACAACGTGAGACGGATGACGTCTATACAATAAAACCTTTTCAACATAACACACAAAATCATGTTGAAACACAAAAGGAAAGAAAAAAACAAGTTTAAGCAAGGTGAGATTTTCTCATGTAAAAAATACATCACATCAGTACATGTATGGAAAATTAAAAAGGACAATCGAAACCATGTATGCATTTCATTACACCGAGAGGCACTCAGTGTGATACTTTGCTTATTATTGCAAACATTTTCTTAGTGATATTTGCTACAGAGAAGAGGAAAAAAGATCGACTTTGTCATCAAATGGCAAATCCATTCATGTCTGTTTTAAACACTTCATGTGGTGCAACAATAATAAAAAAGGAACACAAAAAAAACATGCCACTTGTCTGAATAAAACCACCGTTTCAGGGCCGTCAGAACATACGAGGCTCGAGCACCACGTTCCCACGTCAAGTAAGGGACAATGCAGAAACACGAGGTAAAATAGTTAGCTTCTTAAAACCCTGATTAACTACAGCCTCAGTGAGTGGTTTGTCTTACAATCAGGAAAAGAAAAAAAAATGCTGTTTCCATTTGAATATCAGGAATTCTCCACAAAATTCAAAAAAAGCAACCTTAAATAGCTTTTAAAAGAGCAGAATCTAGTTTTGCTATAAGCCAGAAGGAAATAAGTGCATTATCCCAGAGCTAGCACACTGATACAGGCACTGTCTGGATACTTTTTCTTTTTTATCACTATCATTTTTATCATAATAATTATAATTCGTTGAGTCCTAATATCAATAACACATGAAATTATTTTAATAATAGGGCAGCCAGGCTTAGGAATCAATACTTGGTTCATAAAATTAACTTACCTAGCACCACACGAGGGCAACACAAAATAACCATAAGTACACCCCTATCTCTATCAAACTAATCCTAAAGGAGGGAAGCAAAGTAGAAACGGCTTCATCGTACAATATGATGCAATCAATAAACAGATAAATATTTCCACTGGGGAGACCTTAGTAGCATTATTTTCCTCTTACCTATACAGACAGAAGTTACAAAGCTACCTTTATACATGTGATCCATAAGAATAATATTAAATATGTTGAATAAAAACAGCGGAGAATGAGGGAGAGTGTGAGAAACAGAACAGGTACAGTAATACAGGCCATGTCAAGTTCTTTGTTCTCCACCTGGGAACTGAACTGGTCAAATATACAGACGAGACGTCCACGAAATTTAACAAAAAAAAAAAAAAAAGATAAATAAGGGGGTGTATTTACATGCAGATGCACAAAAAGAATGAGAAATAATACACCAACATAGATTATTGCTTGACATTCAATTATGGCTAAAGGTTGCGTCTTTATTTTTTTTCCTTTTAAAACTATCGTCCTTAAATGTAATTTTAATCTTAAATTCTTATCAGCTGTACTCTGAAAAACGAGTTGATTTTTAACAAAATGCAATGACAGATTCATAATTATGGGTTAAAATACGCTAGCAGCTTTTAAGCATGACACGCTAGCCTTCATAATCCGCGATCAACGAGGGCTCAAAAATCCAGTATTCTAAAGAAGACAGAAGGAATTGATTTTAGTACGCTGCATTCTGACCAAGAAAGCTGAAAGAGCATGTTTTTGGAGTGGTGACTCTGCTCTTTATGGTCCTCCACAGACTTTTTGCAAACCGCTGAATTGTTGAAGGCGTTATGTTATACTTAAAAAAGAATCAAATAAAAACAACCTATACTGTACTTATTATGGATGGATCCAGCTCAGCATTTCCAAACCTTTTTCCTTTTTAGAAATTCTTTAAAAAATGAAACCAAAATATCCTCATCCACGTAACCCTGTTCCTCTGTAATTATTAAAGCCTTGTCTGGGGTTTTTATTCTAGTCACACATTGTAATAACAACACACGCACACACACACATATATATATATATATATATACACACACACACATACAGAGACTATTGCTTTTTACAAACAGACAACATTGCAGAGACAGAAGAAACGGCACAGTTTACTGTATAATACACACAGATTGAAAAGCAGACATTATCTGGAAAATCTAAAAAGAAAAACAAAAAAAAAAAAAAAAAAAAAAAAAAAAAAAAAAAAATAAAAGGACCAGTGGCGGTTCTTGCATGCATGGTTCCCTGGGCCAGTGCCTGCAGGAAAACTTTTGATATTCTAGGATTGGATACATTGAAGCATATTTGCATGTTTCCATATCTAGTATTTCTAGATATTTGCCACTCTGGGCAACTGCCCATTTGACCTCTAACAAAAACCGCCACTGAAGATGACATAATATTGCCAGTATAGTCATAGTACTTGTATGTTTGATGACCGTTTTCTGCTCTCCTGTCTCTATTGCAACCACACATCACATGTGAAGAGAAATAAAGGAACCGAAGGGACTATTATTACTTCCTGGTAAAAAACTGTAAACATACAGGATGTATAGTTCATTATAAAAGAAAAGGTGGAAAACTGCAATGTAGAGACCCGTAATTGCAACACAAGGCATATTGCTTGTAATATTTTGCAGAATGCATCAAAGAGCCCACTCATCAGGCTCACCTGCTTGCGCTTTAAAAAATGGCAGACCTTAGCTGATCGTGTGAGAAAAGTACGTCATGCAACTAGAAAACGTGCTAAAAACCAACCATTTCAAAGGAACGCAGACAAATCCCTCTTTTTTTTTTTTTTATTCCCATAAGAGGAATTGGATAAATCAGTGTGCTATGTCAGATGCGTCTCAGGCCTTCCCTGTCCACCTCCCTGAGGGTTCACACCGCCTTCTTTCTATGTGCTGTTCTCATCGGGGCCACAGACATCTTTCACAAACCTGGATTGTCTAGCAGTGCTCCAGACTGGGGGCAGCAGGGGTTGTTTTGCTCAGATACTGAGGCTAACTAGTCGTATAGAGGGCTTGTGCATAATATACAAAGAGATGTGGACCAATAGAACAGCTACAGCAGATCTACTACAGCCCAAACACAACCAATTCAGTATTGCATAAGAATATTTTGGTTTTTCAAACAAAGAGGGTAATCATTTGCAAAGACCCTGATGACACCATCTGTAATAAAAAACAAATACTTCTTTCTTATTTACTAATAGGAAAATGCTTTGTGCTGAAAAACAGCAGGTTGTAAAATTGATGCGTTTATGGTTTTGATTTGTTGGCTAAAAACCTAATACAGTTTAAAACAAATCTTTACAGACAATCTGTAAAAAGTCCCGCGACCTGTTTCGCTCCCAGAGTCTGACAGGGAATCAGAATAGACATCTCCTGTTGTAGCTCAGACACGTTTACCAAATTATTCCTTTCTCCTTAATGTCAGAATAATGAGAGAAGTAAATAAAATTTGAAAAAAATGTTTTCAAAGTGACATTTACATAGATTTCACTTGGTAGCTTTGTTATAAACTGCACAACTTAGGTCAAAGATATTTGGATGTTCTACACCAGGGGTCACCAACGTGGTGCCCGTGGGCACCAAGGGGCCCTCAAGGACAACATGGGATGCCCTCAGCATCTTTTGAAAACAGAACAATTCACCAGTGGACTAAATCTGAAATATTATTTTTTACTGAAGCTCTTATTTTGAAGCATTTATGAAGCATTTTATCATATCAATAAATTAGAACATTTGAGGATTTATATAGATTTCATAATGAGAATATCTAAAAGCAAATTAAAAATGAAAAGAAACAATAGAAATATGTTTATTATCTATGAAGTTCAGGTGAACGCCGACTCCTCTAGTTCATAGGTTAGTATTGGTAGCCCGTCCTATGACTCAGTACCCATAAAGTAGCCCTCAGCCTTAAAAAAGTTGGTGACCCCTGTTCTACACGTTTCTTGCCATCACTGTATATACAGTATATAAATATCCCATGCACCTTTTTCTTCCTTTGGCACATTCTTCTCCTTTGACTATTTGAGCTAAGGTAATGAGAACATTTCTCCACTGTGAGATCAATAAAGTAAATAAATCAATCAATCATTATCTGCTGGAATGTTTGCCTGGTCCTCCAGAAATATCAGCAGTAACCCTGTAGACAGCTTTGCTCATTTAGAACTTTTTTACTTTCCCCACAAATGAAATCAGGGCTTTGGAATAGAAAAAGATAAAAAAAGAAAGAAAAAAAATTGACCTTCTTTTCTTTAACCCACTTTGTAATTAATTTGGTGCTATGGTTAATAACATTGTCCATGTGGAAGACACATTTGTGCCAAAGTTTTAACATAATTGGCTGCTTTCTTGAGGTGCTGCTTCATTATTTTCACATAACCTTATTTTCTTAACAATACAAGCTGATAATATTCCCTCTTGTAGCAGCGACCCCACAACAGGATGCTGTCACTACCATACTTTACAGCTGGGATGGCATTCTGAGGCTTCAAATCACCTATTTTTTTCCTACCAAGTGCAACAATAGTCATCAAGATCAAACATCTGAACTAAAAAAAAAAAAAAAGACCACAGGATGCATCTCTCATTATTCTGGCCTTTAAGTAAATAGGAAGGATTTAGTCTAATTTAAAGTCAGACAATGAGAAGAAGTCTTTTCTTAACAAAGCGTCAATAAACATCTGTTTTAAACTGCACGTCGGAAATGTGAACTCAGTGATAACATTTTCAAACCTAATTTCAACAGCTTCCCATGGAAACATCCCTGAAACAAACTAAACAAACTAAATGAAACATGATGAATACAAACAAATGTCCTATCAAATGGAAAGATAAAAAAAAAAAAAAAAAATTCTTCCCTGAGGGGTGACAGCACAAGGCATTAACGTCTTGTGCAAATTGCACAGCAAAGGAACGATAGTGTGCAAACAGAAAGAAATGAACAAACAAAACTTGATTCTGCTTAACAGTTGGTGACAAATGTATTAACACGCTTTGCTGGGTTTCCTAAAGGGATATTTTTTCATTTCTTTTTTTTCTTTTAAAGTTACTCAAGAAGCTGCTACTGAGATTGCTGGAATGTCTTCAGAATCCATTCTACGTTTTAACCAAGTAGACTGGAAAGCGGAAGCGACGACTACAGTTTGGCACATCCAGGGTTTTTTTTTTCTACAATTTTTTTTTCTTTTACCACGTTTACCACCACACTGACAAGAAAGACACACTTGACAAAAACAGAAGCACAACAACAAAGCGTTCTGAAAATAGCACTTGTCCTGCCATTTTCTGTTTTTTTTTTTAAACTTCCCCCTCCTAATCATATAAACAACAGCTAGTCTTAATTATTGCAGGGATACAGTTAAGTGCTACCTGACATCTTTTTTCCTCTTCCTCATCCTCTTTCGTGGGTTTGTTAAACCAAAACAATTTACAAAAATAGAAGCTTTACTACCAGACAAGGCTTTGAATATTCACTTTCCCTTCACTGTTTATCATCTGTGTCCTTTTAAGCTGCTGCCACGCCGAGGCTATGGTAAGAAGGCAAAAATACACTCATATTAAAAAGGGGGGGAAAAAAAATCAATGCCGTTTCAAATATACCTTTATAGTGCCGTAAAAAAAGTTTTCATACCCCTTGAACTTCTTTTAATTTTTCAAGTTAGAACCAAGACCTCCAACCTGTTTTGTTGGGATTTTATCTGGGAGATCAGTTATTAAATAATGATGCAGGGAAAGAATAAGTCTTTAAGCTTTGTTTAGAAAGAAAAATCTGAACAGTGTGGCCTGCTTTAGCACCTGATTTCTTAGCTCTAGTACACTGAAATTAAATCCATTGCAACCAATTTCCTTCAAAATCTTTCTATATAAATTCCACATAATAAAGTTTTTACTTTGGAAGTCTAGCTTTGTGAAAAATAAAATGCCTCATCTAAAGACAAATGAGACATGTTAGTAAAAGCTTCTGACCTTCCAGCAGAACAATACCCCCCTTTAAGCAGGACCCTGCTTTTAATTTAAACGTTTATAATGAGCATATTTCAATTGATAAAAAGGCCTATTTAAAGTACAGGTCTAAATCCATCCAATTAAAAATCTGTGGCAAAACTTGGCCCATTTTAATGGTGCCTGAGCTTGCAAAGAAGATTGGATAGTATTTCAAAATACTTCCAACTGCTAATAAAGTCTTGGGTACCACACTTTTTTGGCCTTTTTGTGCAGAAATAAATAAATAAAACCAAAAAAAAAGGAAAAACATGCATTAGTTTCCTTTCCTTACACCATTAAATGCTATTTGTGCTTGCATATTAAATAAAATCCCAATAAAATACAGGATTGTACCAAAAGGTTGTTACTTGATAAAATGCTACATATATAATAAGTTCAAGGTGTATTCATTTTTAGCAGCCTGCAATAGGCATGCTTTTAAGGGTACAGTAGTAATGTCACCTCTGCAATACTCGCTTGTCTTATTTCAAACTTCCACTAGGTGGAACAGTAGGATTGCAATCTAAATGTGTTTTTCTTCATGTTGAATCACATGGCAAAAAAAATCAAAGTAGTTTTTGTGTTTTTATTCTGCTATCCGAATTCTGTCAAACTGGAATTCAAATAAAAACATATAAATGTATATAATTTTGTAAACTGCAAACGCCTCTGCCTCAAGGGGTTTTTATTATTCAGGTTTTAGACACATTATTAGGGGTAATCAGAATCTTAATTTCTGTGCACCTTCCTACTGAAAATATGCAGCACTGTCGTAGCCGTTTCAGAAAAAAAGATAGAGCGTCTTTAGTTTGCCTCCTAATCCGTGCCTCATTCATGTGCATCCAGCAGCAGCATGGGTCATCCTAACAGAACCCCCTGATCCCCCCCCCACCAGCCTTAGAACACTTCCAGACCAATAACACCCATAGCTCCCAAGAGTAACCTCTGTGACTATGATTCAGCTTGTACTTCTTGTGCACATGCAACACATCACTAGGTAAATATACAAGTCTTAAATTAAACAAAGGTGTAAATAAAAGTGCCTTATCAATTCAACAATTAAGAATGGTCTAACTACGAATATCATACATGTTATTTAAAATAGATTCTATAAACATTATTTTTTTTCTGTATAGTAAGTACTTATGACCATATACCCTGTAGTACATTATAAAACAGGTGGAATGGAGCCTTTTCATTGCGTTGGTACCCTGGGCTTCTTCAGGGCATCTTTCCAGAGAAGGATTAATAGCAGATGGCCTTACATGATTTTCACTATGCAACAATGGTGGATGGAGTCCTTGACAGCTAAAATCATTGTGTTTTATAAGAATTACCAGAATTCTAGTCTTCCTTTTTTTTTTTTGTTCCATTTTAAACGATTGTCCTTAAAGAGGCGCCGATTGCATCACCATGCCGACGGAACCTCCAAGAGAGTTGCTGTGAGTTTTCATTTCGAGCGCTGCTTCCAAAACAAAAACAAACCAAAAAAAAGAAAACAGGTAAAACGGCTGAACTTGACCAAAGTGTGCACATTTTGTAGGAGACTTAAATTCGGTCGGGGAGTCAGGTATTATAAAGATGAAAGGTTTAATTGTGAAAACACTAAAAAAAAATCATTTAAGGAGTGCAAACTTGGGTGATAATACTGCTGAGGTCATCTTTTAAGTGTTGTTATACTCCTGCATCATAATAAAAGCAAACAACACAGGTGAAACTGTTTTGTTTTCCTTTAAAAAAGTGCATTAAAGGGCCAAGTTCAGCCAAACAGAAATTATTTGTTCCCATCTCCTCTTCATGTCTCGCTGGAGTTCAGTTGCATCTTCTTGCAACCTAAATTACACAAAGTAAACCTTGACAATTAGCTAGCCAATGCAACCGCCCCTCCACTGCAAAAACAAAAATTAAGAGGGAAAAAAGGGGGGAAAAAAAGTTGAACAGCGTGCCATCTGTTCGCTCCGGTCTTGTGCAGGGCACCAGTAAAGTGTCTCAGATTCCTCCTCCATGGCCAACACCTCCCTTCCCCCCAAACAGTGGGCGCACCAGCACCTGGGGGGGCGGAGCCTGTTACCCATCGACGGGCATGGACTGCTCAAAGTCTGATCCGAACAGCTCCTTATATAAGGGGGGGAAGTGGGCACGCACAATGTCTGGGTATATTGCTTTGAAAGCCGTGAGCTTCTCTGTATGCCTACTGCACAGCGCTCGCAGTGTCGACACTTTGCATATCAACTGTGGGGAGAGAGAGAGAGAGAGAGAGAAAGAGGAGGGGGGTAGGCTGTTTAGATTTACTACGAGGCAAGGACAAGGAGCAATTGTAGTGAAGAAAAAAAAAAGCCCTCCCTACAGTCCTCAGTGGCCCAAACACACTTTAAAATCACGAGACATTGAAACACTTCATATTAGAGAGGAAATACAATTAATACATTTGCACATTTTGAGTAATAAAAATGAATTGTACTCAGTTTGGAGACTATAGGTTTGGACACTAATTTGTGCTTTTTATTTAACTGGTGAAGAATAGATCAAGCTTAGCTCAGAGATGCAGGGCAAGATGCCTTACAACGTACCTTTGTGAGAATACCATCCTCTCTGTGGTTCTTCTGCAGAACATGCTGAAGGGCCAGTTGGATCTTCTGCTGGAGTTTCTCAACTTTCACCTTCTCCTGCAGCCAGGATCGGTCTGAAAGGAAACATTTCACTGTTTTATTAATGGCTAAAGCACTGTGAAAGATCTTTTTTTTTTTTACAGTTCATACAAAATTAGTACAAATAGTTTTGGAAAAAGTACCCCATACACCTGATTTGTCAAGTTACATTCTCAAATCCCAATAGGAATTCAATAAGATACTTTATAGGTCAACACAAAGCATTTTTATTTTTTTAGCAATTAAGATTTTGAAAATGGTGGCATGCATTTGAATTAATCAAGCTTGGAGTATTACTGTCTGAAACCACATTTTCACTGCCACTGCAGCTGAAGTGCTTTTGGATATGTCTCACAAAGCTTGGCCTAACGCAGACCCTTACCCTAAGCCTACTAATTACCTAAGAGTAGACCCCAGTAAGCAGCATATTCTGGGGACACTGGCTTTACACTGTCTCTGTCACTGCATATTTATTTTGTATGCTTCCTACCTGGCCTGTCAGTTTATATTGATTTGTTTGATAGGTGCAGCTGTACCATACAGATATCAAATTATATCAACTAATTTGGTGACTTCTAAAGGCAGCTGATTGCTCTGGATTTAATTCAGAAGCTTGGGTAAGAAATAATATATATACATGCAACACTTTTAAGATTTTTATTCCCATTTGATTTTTGAAAACCACATGTAATAATTTTTCTGGCTTACAATTAATTACTGATTGCTATTAAAATTGCTATTTTATTTTTCTGGCTTACAATTAATCTATTACATACAATGCCAATACAATGTATATTTGAATGTGACTGAATGCATACAGTTTAAAGGGTATGACTACTTTTGCAAGGCAGAGTATATTGTTATGGTGATCGTGGCTGCTCCCACCCCTCTCCCCCACATTGTTGCTGTGACTGACACCTACCAGCAGACATCAACACAAAGGCAGAGAACAGGGCGATCTCATCCTCAGACAGGTGCATAGAACACAAGTTTTTCCCAAACTCGAAGACGGAGCTGATCAAGTCGTCACAGCCTGCCACAGCAAAGGACATGGAGAGAAAGAGAGAGAGAGGGCTTAGGATAGGGAAGACCAAAGAACAACATTCACGCTTGATCTTTATTGGGAGAGAGGCACACAAGGAGGGGAGAGGAAGGGGGAGGGATAAAAAAGAGCAGCGTGCTGACAGCACATGGGAGCGTCTTAAGCAGAACAGGCAATGCTTTTACTGAGTTTTGCCTCCCAGACGAGTCACTTTTGGCAGTTGGGCGGCGTTATGCAAGCTAAAATGAGGTCACTATTGAGGCTTTTAGTTAAATCAATTATTGGGGACATACAGAGACAGGCACATGACACCACTGCTCGGAAAGCTCATCATTCTCCCTCCCTCTGCCGCCGTCCCCTGCTATCAGTTAGAGGGACGTTCACTAATACATAAGCAGGGGTGCTTGAAAAAAAAAAAAAAACTGTAAGAAACAGGAAGGCGTATCTTCAAAATCACTACGGATTGCATTAACATTCTCACCGTCAAAAAGATAACTATGCAGGGAAATCACAATAAAATATGACAGTCAAACATGACTGCCATTTGTTTTTGTTTTCTTTTTGCCTGAGATGTTTCATATCAGACTATCAATGATAGTTTTGATAGCAGTCTCCCCAAAGATGCTCTGTCTGGCTTTATTTATTCCGCAGTTACAGGAGCCATATGCAGCGGCGTCTCGGTAACAGCTCTGTTCTACCATAAATAACCGCTGAAGAGACAGAAATGCCAGGTGAGGAAGGGATGAGGAGCTCAGTGGTTTCTTCCAGGCCTTCAGTGTTGAGCACACAACAACAGCAGACTCTAATTTTGGCTGCTACACCAAGGAGAGGAGGAAGACACTGTAAAGAAACACTCTAGATACACAAACACAGCAGCTCACTAACACAAAAGCAGGCACCCACGTCTGCCTGCCTGCCTGCTTGCACACCCACTCCACTTACCTAATGACTTGAACACATCAGGTCCGGCATATTTTCCATCGAAATAGACGGTGTTGTTTTGCGAGTCAAAGGCACGGCACATTCTGACAAACACAACTTCCAGAGAGCCTGCAAGACAGACAGGAACAAGGTGCTGAAGATTTTCTTTTTTCCCTGCAACATCAGTCAGAGGTGCAAAACACACGATTATGCTTTGTGTTAATCTTCTGAAATATGAGAAAACAACCGCTTTGAAATATGCCTGCTGGCAGAGGAGAATAAAAACTGCCTCCACAGATGAAAACATCATCGATAGAAGGCTATTCTTCTACAGAGCCGCGCTTCACAAAAATAGGTAGCTACGTTACTTGTTCATTTAGACTCTCTTTTTAGCTGGAAAGCTATTTATTAGATGCGACAATAATGTAACCCTTGATGGGAATGAATAAGAAGAAAAAGGTACATAGATAACGGTTCCTCTTATTGACACAGCTGAAAAAAGGTGTTTAAAAAAAAAAAACCTTGGGATGAACTCATAGTTTACTTCAGCCTTCGTAACCACACTGAATAATTTAGAAAAATAAATCCTTTGAGTACATTTCTACAGAGAGAAAATCCAAAATTATATATCTATATCTATATAGATATAGATATACAGATATATATATAGATATATTATAAAGCCAATTAGCCAACTTATAAAATTGGAAAGGAGACAAATTTGTTTTTATCTTCATAAAACAATTCCTCAATCAAATAGTGACACAGAAATATCTACTTTCCTAAACTTCCCCACATCTACAACATCTACATCTATAGCAATGACCAAGACAAAGACCAATAATGCCCCTGGTGAATTTGGAATGAAACCAGGGAACAAAGCTAGTTTTGGGTATGGTAAAGGATCTATAATACTGTGGGCTGCTTTATCTATAAATATCAGAAACAGTGTGTTAGTAATATTATAATACTAAGAACTTCCTGTATAACCGGTGGTATTTTAAAAAAAAATGTGTTGGACTCCACAGGTAAACTGAAAATGGGATGTAACTAGTCTTTTACCAGGATACGGATCTAAAAAATATGTCCAAATAGATGCAGAAATACTTCACCAGAAACAATAACTATTTCAGCTAAGAGAACTAAATTCTTTGGGTGGGCTAAAAAAAAAAAAGAGCATACGTTCGGACTGTGGTCGCATAGAGAGACTTTTTAAAGATAAACGGTCAATGATTTCTCTCTTGGCTTCAGCTTTGTGAAAAAGTTAGAGCAGTACAGTCCTATTGGCAAAAGGAGATTAAGAAGAATTTATTCCAAGGCTTTTTCCCACGTTGTTACCAGAGAATCCAATAAGGGTTGATTGCGTTGTGTATCTGCATGAATACAGGCTACATTATCAGAGCAGTTCAAAGATACATCCTCAATTTATGGGAAAAACTGGAAAAAAAATTTAGCTAGCATGACATATTATCAGAAGTCTGAGAAGGATGACTTATCTAATACAGTGTGTGCCTCTGCTATGTATGCAATGAACAGAGGAAAACAGAAAGAGGCAGAGCGGGGTGTGGTGGGGTCTGCTGCCTGTGACACTGTCTGGACGTGTGAAGGAGAGGAGCTTTGTGCAGTCAGGTCAGCTACACCCCCCCATGACAACGCTGGAGTGGGGCCGGCGGAGGTGAGCCGAGGTGAGCTCGACGGCAGCGAGCCATGTTGACAGGCTGTCATACCTGCTTTCAGCAGCACTATCTGATCGTTCTGACACAGCTCCATAAAGCCGTCGATGCGCTTGGCAAACTCCACCACATACTGAATGGCCTCCGTTATTTTGATAGCACACAGCTGCCACATGACTTCCCGGGGCTGAGGAACAAGATATGAGAGAGAATGGGTTATCTGCTTTAAAACAATAATTTTGATAACTGCAGCTGCGACGCCAGGCCAGCCGTCTTACCTTGCTCTGGTAGCTCTCCACCTCCTCCTGAAGGAAAGCCTGCCAGGTCATCTGCTGCAGCTCCTCTCTCAGGTACTGACATGTCTCCATGTGTGACTTTGAGATGTTCTGGGCCAGGTGCTCTGAAACACAATAACCAACATCATGAGGAACCTGCAAAATTTCAGCTGAGATCCAAGTGTTACAAAACAGAGGTATGTAAAAGTGAAGACCTCACTGATGAAATATGCCACAGGAAAAGAAGATTTATTTACAGAGTTTTCATGAAGGAGCAAAGAGTGTGTTTGTGTGTGTTTGGGGGTGGGGGGGGAATACATGAGTGCTTTTTTTGGGAGAAAGCTTGTTGACATTTCCTTATTCTGCCTGCAGGAAGCTCATAGCTTAAGGTTTAGGCGAAGCCAATCTAGTTATGACACAAATACATGGAAAGGGAAGGGGGTGGGGTGCCATGTTACTCACGGAAACAAAGGTCACGTTTTCTCTCAGAGAAATATTGAGTATAGGAATTTAAATGGTTTTGAAAACACATCTGTTAAAAAGGAGTTCCTCGGCACAAGGGAGCCTAAAAAAAATGATTTCCCCAGACGCCTGCCCTGCTGGATCCCGATTGGCCCTAATTAATGGAAACTAATTACAAAAAAAAGAGGCTCTTTTAATGAGTGTTGGAGATGAGTCTCCAACCTCATGCTATTTTAAGCAACCTTTGTGTCGTTTGCCCCACGGTTGAGTTGTTCTACCCCCCTCCTTTGTTTTACTGTCTCTCCTTTAACCTCTCCTTCCCTTTCCCTGCTCCTTACCTAGTTCAGCCATAGAAACGGTGGGAGACGTCTCGCCATTGGTGAAGGAGCAGTAGGGAAAGAAGCCAGAGCCGGGGGCAAAGTCGCAGATGGGCTCTGGCTTTATACCGTTGATGTCTAAGCCTGATTGGTCAGGGGATGGCTGGATGTCCAGGTAGAAGCTGCTGACCGCAGAGTCGGGCTTGCTGCCATCAGGAGTGTGGCCGTCCATGTAGCCGCTGAGGTCGTCGTGTAGCTCCGTTAGGCCGTTGGCTGAGAGACCATAGCTAGGTGTGAGTGGCTCTGCCTCTCCAGGCTGCTGTTGGTGGTCTCGCTGCTGCTGCTGCAGCCGGTGCTTCTGGACCTCAGCATACAGGCTGTCTCGCTGCTTCTTTGACATTCGGCCAAACTTCACCGCTGATGCAAAAAGGATGAAACAAGAGTGAGAAAACAAGTAAAAGAGAAACAAGATACCAAACTACAGTTAATCACATCTATAAACAAGTTTCAGTATAAATTAAAGCAAATACCTTTTTATATTTACCTTTTAGTAACAGGAAAATAACAGGTTAATTCCTTAATTCTCAGCATATATTATTTTACAAATATTTCTTTTGGTCATTGAATTTAGAAATTCTAAATATGTGCTAATTAATGGTCCAGAACTTTTTACTTTTTTATTCTTTCCATTAAAAGGCATGAGAAGATCTTGTGGCTTTTGGTTATTAGTCAACCAATTTCATTGAAGTTGACATTTTGTTTATTGAATAAGTCATGATATCCTTCCATAATTTTGTGTTGGATCTAGAACAACTATATAATAACCTATTTTTATAGTTATCACACAATGAAATCGGTATTAGCTAGGAAAAGGCTTGTCAGTCTTTATTGACAACATTTTTCGTGTCAAATCCCACAAAAATCTCCATTTAAGTCGCTGAAAATATTGTGAAACTACCGTAAAATATGAAATTCAACCTAAAGATTCACTACACTTTTGACCCAACAAAAATCTTAATAAAATGTTAATAAAAACATACCCAACTTCTCAATGTTTGATCTATTTAGTAATTATCTATCTAATCACTGTAAATACTTTATTACTGACAAACAGAAAGATCCTGTCATGGTTAGACATGTTTAGATATACAAATAAAAAAATAAAAAATGGTATAATACATTTATAGCAACAAAGTACCAAAGATTTTAGAAGTTTGAGTGGGGGTTTATTTTATATTTATTTACCTAAACCAAATTATTTTTTACAGAATATACTCTTCTACATGTTTTAATTAGGGATGCACGATATAATCGGCCCCCTATCGGTATCGGCCTGTATCGGCCTTAAAACTGAATATAACCCGATTTAACCCGATATTTGATCAGCTTCTGAGTTTCTAAAGTCTAAAAAAAAAAAATAAAAAAAATAAAAAAATACTACTTCTTGTTCTTCCTCAAAAACTTCTTTTTTACAGACTTAAAAACTTCTAAAGATGAGGGAAAAAATATTGATACATTAAAATATCTCCATATCTTCATATGCTGATATATTGCCATTTAAAAACACCATATCAATCTCTTTTACTAATGAAATATTGCTATATGTCATCGTTATGCTACGAAATCCCCCGAAAATTCACGAAATTTTGCCATATTTTTATATGTTGATATATTGATGCAGTATCGATCTATTTTACTAACAAAATCTCACAAGAATTTGCAAAATATCATGAGAGTTTTTAACAGAACGATGAAATATCACAAGATTTTGAAAGTAAAATAGATCGATACCGCGTTTTTAAAAATCTATTTGATATCAGCATATGAAAATATATTTGAGTATATTATTTTTCAAAGTGTCAGAAATGGATAACAAAACTGCTATTTTCAATGACTACTTATTTTTGTCCAGCTTTAACATTGGTATCGGTATCGATTATTGGCTACATGAGTTTTAAAATATCGGCATATCGGATATCGGCATCCCTAGTTTTAATCATTACTCTATTATGTTTGCAACAACAGGCATAACAGATGCTTTAAAAGATCCATTTTTTAAATTTTGTTGAAAGCTTTTGAGTCAATATGTGATACAATGAAGTCAATAGTTTTCTTAAATGTTTTATCTTAAGAATTGTCATACTGGCCCACACCACAACAACTAAGCCAACAGTGTCAAACTACACTAGAAGTAAGAATCTCATAGCTAATGTGCAACAAAATGGTAAAAAAAAACATGGATTAAATCTACAGTAAATAGTTCCAGGACACACAAAAAAGAAAAATTACTGACTATCATGAAAGTGCAAAAATAAAAGGAGAGGTAAAAAAGCTGGTCAGACAGTCCAACATGAGAAAAGTTGTCGGCTTTAGACACTTAATTCTTTTGCAAAGGAGACTTCTTGGCTGATGTTTGTGGAGAGCGACAGTAAGTCAGGAGGTCACGGTGTGCATGTGTGTCCTCAATGAGTGTGTGTGCATCTATGCAAATAAAATGCATGCAGAGGGACTTGGAGGAGAGTAAAAGCATAGAGGCTTTGAAATGTTCAGTGAAGGTAAGAGTCACCTTCTTCCAGTCAAAAACCTATATATACATCCCTGTATAAGCATGTCTGTATGAGTAATGAACTGTGCATCACTTAGCCATGCACTCTAAATCCTGTGTTCATTTATATTCAGGACTGTACATGCATAGGGATGTAGAAGACTCTGTGAATGTGAATGTATGTTAAGATTTTCACTTTAAATCTGTGAAACCAAGCTGTAATGAAAAAGATCTGCTTTGTTCAGGCAGAACCTCCTCAGCTCAGTCTAGTCTGGACCTGCCTCACAAAGAGGACACATACAGCCACTGAGGGGTTTCTATCATAGCATCTTTGCTGCAGCAGTAATCCCAATACTCTCTAAACATGTTCTGTTAAATGAAAACTGGTTTCTATCACTGCAGTTTCTTCCACCACTGGCACATAATACACAATATCTGTTTTTTCCCCAAATCAGTGACTTCTCTATGAACAGTTGGAGGGCTTATGGCATTGCTTGATAATGTTTACAAAGCATGTCCACCTTGCCTCAGTTGTTAATAGTCTTGGTTGATAGATGTGTCAAAACCATTAATGGTTCTAGGCAGGGGCCAACACGGGCCAGTGCCTTCTAGAACTGGTCCTGGCCCCTGTTAATGGCCCCTTACAGTACTGAAGACTAAATACAAAAAAGAAATACCAACGCTGATATGAACACACATATGGAGTGATAGTTCCCTTGGACCATTTCATTTTTTCTTTACAATTCTGTTTTCATTATGATTCTAAAGTTATGGTGATAGCTTCAGCCGTATTGTAATACGATCACAGTTTCAATAGTGAAATGTTATTATAAACCACATTTTAAAAATCACACATTTTTTTACTGCTAAATTAATTGAATTCACTTATTTTAAAATTCTAATTTGATCAAAACTAAATAATATCTAAAATAAGTCACAAATATTCAGTACTCGTAAATAACGAATGAACACTGACCTAATATTACAAACAATAGTTTTTTGGGGTTTTTTTGTAATCCGTTAGTAAATATTTATTTAGGAACTAAATATTTCAGTTACTTTCTCGCGGAATTGTATGGGATTTTCTAATTTTATGTAAAGTAAAATTAACATTAAGCCAAAATTAACAAATTTTCAACTGGAAGAAAATGTAAATAAAAACTAAATGAGATGGGTGATTTCACTTCATTCAGTGTAGACCCACAAGTAACTCTTTGGTTCTGTGCTTCTCTTAATATATTTAAAATCTTAATTATTTCCCTGATTTTTAGTTTATGCTTCTCTGGGCCCCATTAAATCCTGCTGGCTCCACCCTGGTCCCTCTACTAAATATGGTGTAGAACTGCCACTGCAAATACCTTTAAAGTAAAAAAAAGTCTTCTTTTTTGCAGAATTGGATTTTCACATTGGAAAAAAAACTATAAATAACTACTCATGCATATATTCTCAGCCTGCTTAATGATACTACTGCAGTATTTTTGATAATCATATGTTGCTTATTCTAGGATGATGAGAAGTAATAGATTACTTCTTGTGTACCTTATGTTATAATATGAGCTTTCACAGAGATTCATATGTCAGACTCAGGAAAACACCATTCAAGTAAGGCAAATGTGTAATAATCACCATAAGTTAAGACATGGTTTCTTAGCCAAACTCGACCATAACTATATTCAGGAGTACAATTAAAAACCTTCAGGCAACTAGAACTGACCACAAGGAAGATAGTAAGGCATGCAAAGCAGCCCTGTGTTATAGATCTGCAGCAGAGGGGGGCCTCTTAAGGTCACAAAGTTTCATTTTAGCTAGTTAGAAACCATTTCAATGCCAAAAGGATATAAGAGAGACATGTGGGAAAAAATCCATCTCTGACCAACACAATTGGACGTCATGTGAAAAATAATCCTGGAAGATTCTCCTTTTGCTCAGATGGTAACAGTATTGACCCTTTTTATAATCAACCTTTATTTTAACTATGTAAAAAAAAAAAATTATAGCCCTTTTTAGTAAGATAGAGATTATGTTCTTCTGTCATACTGGAGTCCAAGTTAACAAGATATTTTTTCTCAAAAAAAAAAAACAGAAAATTTCCAACAAAAATCTGGTGTTTTTTGTCAGAAAAGTAATTATGGCTCATCTTTGATCTTTGGACAGCATTTAAAGGTATAGTGGAGGATTTTGTGAATTTTAAATTGCACATGCACATGCACAACCCTGTACCAGCATCCGAGAGGGAACGCCTATTAAACTTGTGCGAGAGAATGCACAAGCCCATTTCTCCTCAAGAAGGTGCGGGGACGCAATAAGACGATCGCCTCGGATTGATCTCATCTCACCAATATTTATACATAAAAAGTTTCCCTGCAAATAAGACAACTGATACATAAAAAAATCATGATATGCTTGTATGTGTGTTTGCGTATTCGCAGGAAAAGATAGGTACCTGGGGATAAGCATGTAGGACAGCCTTACGTAAACATATCACAAGATTGATTGACAATTAGGAGGATCAATTATTTAAATGATCCACCTGGAAAAAGAACATTCTTCATTATACCTTTAAAACATAAGCATTCACAGGAATAGAAGAGAGGATAAAAATGTAATCTGGACAATCTATAGCAGAGGTTTCTGAAGTTAATCCAGCTTCCTGCTTGCTTAAGTAATTTTTCTCTGGCTAAGCGCAAAAATCTAACGAATGGGTCATTAGCATGTTTGCATGCAATGTTTGGAGCTATGTAAGCCATTTGAGTAAGCTGTGTTACAGCAGGTAGACTTCAACACATGCAGAACCTTTGGCCTTGAGGGGTGAGCAAAAATTTGTTTATGCTTGATGCGTCCACAAGTTCTGTGCAATCAAATTACGTCATTTTGTGCTTCCAAGACGTGCGGACTCCATGCAGACAAATTATCTGGAAGTATTTTTAACATATTTATCTGGGGTTCAATCTGTCAGCAATTATATCAAGATCTAAAAGCAAATAAATGTGGTCACTTATATCACTAATTAAAATTACTTGCTTTAAACTCTCCTCAACCAAAACATCTCCCCGTGAGAAGACCAAATTTAGTTCTTCACCTTCATACCCAGAGGATAGGGAGAAGCAAAGTGGGCTCCCCATCACCACCCCCCATATGTCTCCACCCACCTGATGATCCACTCGTGTACAAAACAACTTACCATCTCGTGACATTCCCACTGCCAAGCACTTCTGCAGCCTGCAGTGCTGGCAGCGGTTGCGGCTGGTGCGGTCGATCAAGCAGTTTTTCTGACGAGGGCAGGAGTACGCTGCATTGCTTTGCTGACTCCTCCTGAAGAAGCCCTGCACAGGGAGAGGGGCACGGAAAATACGTCTTAGGTTTGCTGAACGGGCCTTGGCGGCTGCAAAAACACATTCTAGCACCTCAGAGGGAAGATCATTTTTATGTCTTCATTGTACTCTTGCGCTGACAAGATTTATTGCAGCCTGGCAGGGATGTATTGTACTCCCGGCGGTGATATTTTCATTTTACTGCTTGTAAATGGAAATGCAACAAAAAACTACTGTGGTGGTATTTTCTTGACTTCTTTGCTGGCATTTAAAGAGCACTGTATATCCACCAGTGTGTACAACACGAGGGCGGAATGTTTTGGTAGCGCATGATAACAGCGGCTGGTATTTCTCTTCAGTGGCGTTATTAGTGTTGATTAATGCAGCACAGGCATGTGCGGGGCTAAAGGATTGCAAACGCACACCAACTGGATTTCTCATCCTTTGACTTAATGAATTGATTCCAGCACATCATTAACATGCCCCACTCTACTGCTCCACACACATATGTCTTAATTAGCTGCTCATTGGCTGTTTAATTACAAGAAAACAGCTGACAGCTGCCAAGTTGCTTTATAATGGAAGCCATTATGGAAACAGAGTAAAACTGCCAGTGACAAGCAGCACTCCTTAATAATGCAATGATTTATGGTCCAAACTTTAATACTAGCACGTACCATTAAAGGCCTTTCTGTCTTTGGACTAATTAGCAATCATTAAAGATAGATTTCAGCAGTTTATTCTTTAGCATTGTATCTTTTCCAGGATCTGTGTGTGTAGGAGAGAGGGAGAGAGAGGAGTGCTTAGAAGAAGAGCTTCTTTAAGCTTTTTTTCTTTCCTTAGTGGGACTTTCTATTTAGTTTTGTCTCATTTCTATGGTATAACCCAGAAGCTTACCCTAACCCTAACTACCAACACATGCCTTACCTAAACCCATTTCACTCCTTAGTCCTAAACTTAAACTCCAACCCAGGAAGACATCGTTTCCACATGAGGGACAGTCAACTAGTCAACCCCAAAATGCAGGATCTTTCTGGGAAATTGTTCTTACACTGTCCTCACAATGTAACAGAAACATGGCCACACACACCTTCACACTTCACACATATAGGAGCGAAAAGCAAAAGGTAGAGGCTGGTTGAGGAATGCTAATGATGCTTGACGAGCATGAGGGGGGACAGGAATACGCTCTTCACAAACCTCCCTTTGCCGTGAATGGCTGGTGTATTTGAAACGGTACAAAAGGTGGCTTCAATGGGGAGAAATGTGCTGTAGCAAACAGCCAACAATCTGCTATAATTCAAAGCACTCTTCTTTTGATCATCCTATTTCAAGACGAGCAGCAGAAGCAGAAAAAATAAAATTAAAATAAACTTGAGAAAGGAAAAAAGCAAAAAAAACAAAATGTATGTCCCTAGGAGGGAAAAGGCAGAGGAAGGACTATCTCTTGTTAATTGTAGTTTTCTATGATGCCCTCAGTGGTGCTTGACCACTTTAATGATCATGCTCTCCGTGTTTACATACCACACTTCTTCCCAAATCCCTGTAAAACTTCAGTAACATTTTCAGATGTATTTTTTACTCCCAAATAAGCATCTTTCTTTACCTCCTTGGTGTTTCCCTCCATGTCTTTTCCCTCCTTTTTTCACTTGCTTACAACCCTTCAAACTAACAGGTTCGCTTCTTATGATGCTTACCTTACAGCCTTCACATGTTATCACGCCGTAATGGATGCCTGATGATTTGTCTCCACAGATCTTGCAGGGAATTATTTCGATTTGAGCTGCGGAGAAGAAAAGAAAATGAAAGAAATAAATAAATAAGAGGAAAATAAATCAACATTTTGCTGTCACAAGCCTCTGTACAACCCTCTCACCATGGATCCATGTTGGAACATGAAAGAGCACTGTGCTTCTAAAAACATCTCATCCACTGGCTTTTGAATCCTGTCTTCCACATAGTATTTAGCTGAATATTTAGAGCTGTGCTTATGTGTCTGTGATTTTCTTCCTTTTTTTGAAGAAAAGGATCCAATTTTAAGATGCTCAAAAAAAGCTGGTGCAAACATGGCATCAATTTGAAGCGAAAAACACAACTTGCGTTACAAAAAGACCCAGCTGCCCACAAACTCTAATATCCCACCACAGTGCATATATAAACCTTACCCAGTGACAAAAGCTTATTTAGCCACATGAGGAGGTCTATTCCCTGGTGGAAAACCTGACTTCATGCAGCTTCTTAAATTTCAAAACTATAAACCCCCCCAGGAGCAAATCCACTAGAACCACAAAGAATCATAACATGCCCGCTGTGCTGGATGGAGCACCGACTGTGTATTTGTGTGTGCGAGCCACTGAAGAAGGAAAAAAAAAGCTGCAGTTTAAGTTTGTCTGTGGCGTTATGATGTTGACAGCAAAAGCCCAAAGAGGATGGCCCTCATCCATCGTCGGCCCTCTTTTTGAGAGCGAACCTGGAGCACAGCGGCAAGCACAGAGATCAGACACCCAGAACTCCCAGCTCGGCCCACTGCTCTCAGCTTCATCACGGCTGCAGCCACTGATGCCAAACTGCACCTCCCAGCCCCTCCAACACCCTCCAGAGATCTCTATCTCATAGCCACCTTTAGACATAGGTTTTTTTTACTCTTTCATCACTCAAGCTCAGTGCCAGCTATTGGATCTGAATAAAGGAAAGATCATATAGAAAGCTTTCTTATGAATTGATGCTTTATTTGCTTTTCATGAATGAAGCTGGTTTTTAAAAACATTTAAATGTACTCTAACTTCATTGTTTCAAAGAATATCTAAGTAAAATCGAGTTTGATGTTTCAGTGAGATATAAATATAACACAATACAAACCCATTTTGTTTCAGTCACTGACCACCAGGCTGAATGAGGACCCATGTTAACTGTACCTCAACACAGTGAGAACTCCAGCATAAAGGGATAAAGTCCCCATTAAGTCGGGCATACACTGTGTGATTTTTTTTGCCCTTTTCGGGCCGATTCTCGAGTCGTGCAAGAATTTTTTCGATCAGGCAGAGTTTCAGCCTCATCGCGAGTTGTGTAGTATACAGGGAGTAACGAGGGGTGATTAGCCTCTTATGACCACCTCCCGATCAGGAATCGTAAGGTCGGGAGAAAATCAAACATGTCTGAAATTCAGTCGGCCGTCATAAGATCACATCAAAGCATCGGGCAACACAATGTGAGAACATGCATCATGAGCTGTGAACTTTTAAACCCTGCGGTTTCGTCATACAACATAAGCTGTAGCTGCATGCAATGATTGAAAATATTGCACAGTGTATGCACGTTTTTATGAACATTAGGTTTCATCTACATGCTAGCTGGTTATTAGGGAGACCTGCTAGGTAAAAAAACAAACAATATTTCTTCCCTACCATCAAACATTTTAATATAAGAAGTAGAAAAAATGTGTTTTAAATCTGAAGATAGTTAATTATGTTAAAAAAATAATAAAAGATACAGGGATAAATTAGCAGATATGCTGCAAGGCTCATCTCCACAAAACAAGGTTATTCCGCCATTGGAATTAGATGTGTTAAATCATGGACACAATTAAAAGTATCAGGACAGTGACTCTTAAGGAGAGGATCAAGAGAACATGTGCAAAGAGGAGCACTCACTGTGTGCTCCAACTCTGACATGTTCCTACAATTGTGTCACTGGTCTCAACTTTCAATTCAGTTTTACTTTTCAAAAGATCCGGAAGGATTATTTTCCTCACAGCAGATGTACTGAAATTGAAATGTGTATATCTAAATATTTCAATAAGAGGATATGCTACTGCATTGAAAGAGAAATTTATTCTGAAACTCCTTACACATCCTCACCAGTGGTGTAAACACATTTTATTGCATTTTTAGACTTAGGTTTTTTACTCAATCAATCTTCGAACCTAAGGTAGTATATCAACTAGTTTCTCTTGGATGTTCTATTGAATAAATCAATGTTTAAGCTTTTTAGCAGCTGGCCCAGATCTGTTTAACACTTTTTCAACATAAACATTTTAAATTTCTTCTTAAGACACATTTTTCCTCTTCTTTTTTTAAGGTGTAGCAAGAATCTTAAAAAAAAGTTCATGTACAGCAGCATGCTGCTTTTTATTCTGAAAAACCTTTGAGTGGACTGTATGTATTTTACTATACTTTAAAACCTTGAAGGAAGCAGCATTGGTTATTTTACCCAAATACGATGGACACTGACATTCAGTTACATCATTGACACAAGGAACATAACCATTTCCCCAAATAGGGGTTGACAGATAATATAATTCTTGAAAATAGGTTGCAGATTTTCAGGGTATTACATCAGCCTATTCCCTTTAACCAGCCCCAACTGTCTGCTATAATGCCTAAGGTTCTATCTAAAGACAAAAAGACTTAAAATATCTCCCGCACACCTTAACAAGTCCCTCTTTTATTCTAGTTTGATCACATCAAAAGTACTTTTGTAGGAGTTCAATCCAGATATCCCTGCCCATTTAATCAGCTGCCTGGGAGCCTGCATTGTGTCATGTGGATAATGTCCTCGTCCCTGAGGCGTGCCCCGGAGAGGCCCTTAACACAGAGCCTCTAATCCACTAACCGGGGAACCACACTCTGTTCATTCAGGGGATCTCTTCTTGCACTGCAGGAGTCAACGAGACCAGACATGTTTACTTGGAATTAGCCTAGATTTTAGGGAAAAGGAACAAAAGGGAGAGGTGGAACATGCACAATTAATTCTCTACCAGACAACACCTCCTGCGCTTTTTGGTTCTCCGATACAATAGAGGGCACTGCACCTAAACGGCCCGGATTAGAGCAGAACCCAGGCAGGAGGCGGGCACTGACAACCTTACTGAGAGGGTTAATTTATAATTAATCTTTTCCTTACTGTGCACAGTTGCTTGTTATTTCATTTAGGTCTATCTCTGTATGAGTGCACTCTATTGTTTGTTTTTGTGTTCTCACCGCATGAGCATTAGCAGTGCAGTGTGTTTCAACTCCTTTAGCATTTTCAGCCTCATTACTTACATAATTTGTTCTGACATGCACTCACAACAACTGAAGCGTGCTGTAATTATGGCTAGCTGTGGTTATGTAGCTCTCTAGGCTGCAGTGACAGTTCCCAGCCATGTGGTGGCAGTGCAGGGCTGCTTCTTTGTCTGTCATACCGAGTTAAGCCGAGCTTCCACCCACCCCGTCCACAACCCACATGCTTTTGGCTATGAGCTCCAGTCTCTGATAGCTTCAGGCTTAGGCTGCTGCCTGATTCTCCCCCCCACCCCCACAGCAGAACTGTGAGATGCCTTCATCTCTCCCGAAGAAGCGGAGCAGGCTGGGCGCTCGCTCAGGCCTGACAGAGGCTGTGCCACATCAGGTGAAGGCAGAGAGATTTTAGACACAGGGGTGCCAGGCTGGGCAGATTATTCATCCACATGAGCATAGTTTACTAAAGCCCTATCTCCTGCAGGACGGGCCCAAGTGCATCCAGTCTTACCAGCTTATGCTCTTTCATCTGCTGCTACCACACAAGCCTATGGATGCTAGGTGCACTCAACAGTAAAATGGACAAGCTGATGGACAACTTATAGTCTAATATAAAAACAATTAGTGTAAATTTACTGTTTTCTTTAGTTAAGAGCTGAACATTTATACAATAATTATTAACAGACAGAGCTACATGGAGATACATATGGCAGTCCATATCTATTGACAAACTAGGGAGGCAATGGTCTCCTGGCATGAATCAACCAGCTGCTGGCTCACTTGAACTTGACCGCTACAGTGCCGCTGATCCCATTCACCGCACCTGCCTCCCTGCCTGTCGCCTTCCCTGCCAGCCAGCCTTGCCCGCTCTGTTTACAACATCAAAGCCAAGCACAGTAACACAGGCGGCCATGCTGCTGCTCATCCCAGCAGCACTACCACTCACACCGAAAAGTGCCCTCTCTGCATGCAGGCCACTTCAAAGACACCTGCTGAGATGTCAAGATTGTGTTGAATCACAACCGCAGCACAATCACGGTCTAGCCATGGCCACGAGGGCCATGGAAGCAACCTAACCCAGGCATCCTGGCAGCAAAGCATGGGTGTTGAGAATAAGGAGCTGAGCAGAGAGAGGAGATGGTCATGCAGAATGTTAAGGCTTGTTCTTTGTCAGTGGCTGAGCGGCTCAAGGACACTGACTCACAACATTAGCTGGCCCTCTGAGGGGATGACGTGTCACTCAGTGCACATGTACAAAAGGGGCAGTGAGGCCAATGCATGTTCACCCAGTGCCCTTCACTGTCTTCTTCACAGCCTTTAGACTGAGCCAATGTGTGAACTGTACAGCAGAAAAGAGTCAAACAAGTACACAGTAACTCTGCCACATGTCAGTCTTATATGTCAAAATAAAAGAAAAAAATAACTTTTATCTTTTTTCGATCAGAATACCACAAAATGTACAAACAGATTGAAATATTCAGTATGGATGCAGGTATTGTGCAAAGAAAAAATAAAAATAAGCATTTTGAAGAGCCTACTCAGCCTAAGCCTGAGTAGTTTTTTTTAAAGGAATACACATTTTTAAATACACATCAAGACATGGCTGAAACTTATTCTGACTATGAGAGAGAAGCTTTAATTTGATAGTAGAAAATCTGAACAAAGTAAATTTCATTTGTACTTTAATCCTCAATGTCTCATGGAACATCCTGGATTTTAAATGTATGTATTGATGTTAAGGATTCTAAACATGCAAAGTGATGTGGTTTGAAAACTTGGCTCAATC